ACGATCTTTCCCTCTAAGATCAGGGACGAGACATGGATGCCCACTCTTTCCACTAGTGTTCAATATAATACTGGAAGTACTTGCAATAGCTGTTAGCCAAGAAAAAGATATTAAGGACATTCAGGTAGGAAAGGAAGAAATCAAGCTCTCACTATTTGCAGATGACTGGCTGGAGCGATAGCACAGCGGTAGGGCGTTCGCCTTACAAGCGGCCAGCATGGCCGACCCGAGTTCGATTCCTCCGCCCCTCTCAGAGAGCCCGGCAAGCTACCGAGAGTATTCAATATGCCAAACACAGTAACAACAAAGTCTCCAATGGATACGTTACTGGGCCCTCTCGAGCAAATCGACGATCAACGGGAGGGCCTTTACCTTATGATACTATACTTAAAGAATCCTAAAACCTCTACCAATAAACTTCTAGAAACAATAGACTTGTAGAGTAAAGTTGCAGGCTATAAAAATCAATACCCACAAGTCCATGACTTTCCTATATGCATATAATGAGAGAGAAGAATGTGACATGAAAAAAAAACCAATCCTGTTCACAATTGTGCCCCAGAAAATCAAGTACCTAGGAATCAGCTTAACTAATGATATGAAAGACCTGTACAAAGAAAACTACAAAACGCTTCTTCAGAAAATAAAAGACAATTAACATTGTCAAAATGGCTACAAAACGCTTCTTCAGAAAATAAAAGACAATTAACATTGTCAAAATGGCAATACTTCCCAAAGCATTGTACATATTCAATGCGATCCCTTCAAAGAAATGGAGCAAACACTCCTGAAATTCATAAAGAACAATAAGCTCCCACGAATAGCTAAAGAAATTCTTGGGAAAAAGAAAATGGGAGGAATCAACCTCCCCAACTTCAAACTCTAGCCAAAATTTGGAAAAAAAACCCTAGTGCCCGAGACAGATGACTGGTTAAAGAAACTTTGGTACATCTACATCCTACCTATTACTATTTTTGGCATATCAAATAGTAATGATAACAGACTCATTCCCCTGACCCTGAAAGAGCCTCCAATCGTTGGGAAAGATGAGTAAGGAGAGGCTGCTAAAATCTCAGGCTGGGAGGAATAGACATTACTGGCACCCACCCACACCCACAAATCAACGAACAAAGGGATGACAGTGACAGTGACAGCCAATATCATGCTCAATGATGAAAAAGTCTTCATTCTGAGATAAGAGCCAAGGAGGACAACTTTATTCACTTTCATTCAATATAGCCTTGGGTCCTTGCCACAGCAATCAGTTAAGAAAAAAAAAACCCAAAAAGATCCAACTGGAAAAGAAGCTAAACTATCACTATTTGAAGGTGGCATGATAACATATATGGAAAACTCCAATGAATCCACCAAAAAATCTTAGGAACAATCAATAAATATAAAAAAATCTTGGACTACAAAAATCACATGCAAAAGTTGGTTTCACTTCTATATGCACGCAATTAACTGGAAGTGTAAGAAAAAAAGACAATTCCATTCAAAATAAGTCTAAAAACATTAAATACCTAGAAATCAACTTAACAAATAATGTAAAATATTTATACCCCAAAAACTATGTCACGTTTTAAAGAAATAGAAGAGGACAACAGGAAATGGGAAAATAGTCCATCCTCATGTATTAGAAGAATTTTTACTGTCACTGTCCTCCCGTTGTTCATTGATTTTCTCGAGCAGGCCCAGTATGGTCTTCCTTTTGAGACTTGTTTTTACTGTGTTTGGCATATTGAGTACGCCACGGGGAGCTTGCCAGGCTTTGCCATGTGGGCAAGATACTCTCGGTAGCTTGCCGGGCTCTCCGAGAGGGGTGGAGGAATCGAATTCGGGTCGGCATGTTGGCTGCGTGGAAGGCAAATGCCCTACCCGCTGAGCTATTGGAAGAATTAATATTGTCAAAATTATCACCCCAAACAAAGAACTATGCAGATTTCATGTAATCCCCCTTAAAATTCCAATGACATTTCTCAAGGACTTAGAGCCTTACTAAAATTTGTATGGAATAACCGAAGAAACTCTTAAGAGAAAAAGACTGGAGGTATCACATTTCCAGCAGTAAACTGTAATATAAAGCTATAGTAGTCAAAAAGGTGTGATGCTAGGCTCTTAAACCAATGAAACAAAATTGAGAATCCATAGATAAACTCTCAGATCTATGGACAATTCATCTATGACAAAGAATCTTGGAATATGAGGTGGAATGAGGACAGTCTCTTCAATAAAGGGTGGTAGGCAAATTAGTTAGCTACAAGTAAATAAGTGAAGTGGGAGCTGTATCTCTCAGCATTTACAAAAGTTAACTCATACTGAATTAAAGACATCAAGATTAGACTATAACTCATAAAACTGAGGAAAACATAGGCAAAACTGTCCAGGATGTAACTTAAAAGCCGATGACTTAATTCTAATAGAAATAATCATTTTGGTTCAACCACAGTCAAATATGAGTTAATTTACTTACATAAAGCTACATCTACCAAACCAAAGTGCCAGGCCAAAGACAAACATAAATGGTGCCTTTTTAATGGAGCATGGAAATGACGTACTCGTATTGTCTTTGGTTCTTTTAGAAAGCTCAAATTCAAGCTAGATCTCTACTTAGAGTTATTAACACATAAACGCCCAGCGAAACCTTCAAGTTTGAAACCAACATTGCCCTTATTTCCCTACTAATCAGCTTTTCAAAGGCTGGGGAGAGGGGGGTGACCCCGTCATACATTCAAGACAGGAACTCTACCACCAAGCTACATACCCAGACTATTAAAAAAAAAACTATTTTCCTCCTTGATCAAGAATCCATTGTGGGTAATGAGAAATGTACTGAAATTGTACATTTGATCATCTAATTTGACATGGACTTTGACATTTCAGCCATCAGTTGTGAGAATATAGTTTTTCGTTTGCTTGTTTTATAGTGCTATACGTGCTGTGAGATGAAAGCAGCTCTTTGCTGTTTATTTTGTATTGATCTTTATTAGTCGCTTTCTAGATCAAAAATTTAATTCTAGCAAGGGGCAGGGATTGGGTGGGTGAGCTTAAAGGGCTGGAGTGCATGCAGGAACCCCCCCACCCCGCGTGATCCCCCAAAGCACTATCAGAAATAGGCTGAGCACCGCTAGGTATGGCCTCTAAACAAAAAAAGAAAATAAGGGCTGGAGTGATAGCATAGCAGGTAGGGCATTTGCCTTGCACCCAGCCGACCCGGATTCGATTCCCAGCATCCCATATGGTCCCCCAAGCACCATCAGGAGTAATTGCTGATTGTCTGAGCCAAGAGGAACCCCTGTGCATTGCTGGGTGTGCCCACCCCCCAAAAATACCCCAAAAAACAAAGAGTGATACTGAGCTTCTTACTACCTTTCCCACCATCCCCTGAACAGCAATGAAACCCCAACGTTCCGTTTCTTTCCTAACTCAAAATTCTTTAAGCCGGTGATGTTCAGCTGCTAGCCCGTCTGCAGGTGTAGAAGGGTTGAAAATACCTGGTCTAGCACCTTGGTTATAACAGCTGGTCCGGTATGCCTGAGCTGTCCTTAGGTGTGAAAAGGTTGAAGACCCCCTGCTCTAAACAGTGATGGCTGAATTGCACCTGGATTCCCATTTATTTCCGTTGTTTTAAGCCATTCTCAACTTTCTTGGGAGCACACGGGGCCAATGAATACGGAATCAACTGTCTTTATATGATCCCCTTTAACCCGAAGAATTATTTCAGGTACTGCTTGAAATGTATTCCTCCCCGAGTTGCCTGGCACCACCGCTTTCTGTCAGTGAAGCACTTGGGCTGGACGTGTCTCGTGGAACAGCTTGAGAGAAGGTGGTTTCGGACATTTCTTTTTCACAGTTGAACCATTTTCACAAAGATCTTGAGGGTCTTTCTTCCACTTTCCCACAGGAAATCTCTGTCCAGCCCTAGACTCAGTCTCCCTCCACCTCTAGCTCCCTTCTTTGGGGCCTAAGGCACTTGCCAGACCTCTCCCCTCCCACCTGTACTGCTGAGTCCCAGTGCCAAGAGGCTGTTGCACTGCGTCCTATTAATTTCCCTGGAATCCAGTTCTGCTGGATTCTTTGGGCAGCTGGTTCAGACTTCCTCTCGCGAATCCTGCCAGACCACCACCCCCACCAGCTCTGAGACTCACAAGATCTTTTTTTTTTTTTAATTTTATTGAATCACCGTGAAATACAGTTGTAAGCTTTCATGTTTGAGTTATAGTCATACAAAGATCAAACACCCATTCCTCTACCAGTGCACATTCCCCACCACCAGTGTCCCCAGTATCCCCCCTCTTCCATTTCCCGCCCTCCCCCAACCCCCATGGCAGGCAAATTCCCCCATACTCTCTATTTTGGGGCATTATGGTTTTGCAAGACAGACACTGAGAGGTTATCACGTTTGCTCCTTTGCCTACTTTCAGCACACATCTCCCATCCCGACCCACCGAGGCGGATCCCTCCAACCATCATTTATTTCCTTAGTGACCCCTTAGGCTACCAGCTATGGAGCAATTTTCCTGGCCCTTAGAAACTCACAAGATCTGACTGCCTGCCCCCCATCCGCTCTATCCTCGCCTGGCTAGCCAGTCCCTACCCTTCCCAGTGGGCATCAAGCACTTGGCGCCTGGCAGGGTCCCTCCACCCCCCACCCCACATACTCTTACCTCCACCGAGAAGCCTGCCCTGATTTTCCGACCCTCCACAAGACAAACTGGCATGCCCCTGCCTGCTCCCTTCGCGCCGTGCCCTGGTCGGGATGGTGTTAACTGTTTCTTGGCCTGCCCCCGCGGGCCGGTGCACACTCGGGGGGCCCGGGACTGTGTGTCATAATCGTCTCTGCAGTTCCCGTCCTGGAACCTAACTTCTTCCCCCCTCACCCGCCTCCCCGCCCACCCCCCATCAGGCAGGACGAAGGGGGGTCCTCAAGTCAGCCGGGGTGAAAAAAAGCTCCAGAGCATCAGCGGCCGCTGGGACCCTCGACTTCCCGCTGAGTCGAGATGCTGGAGGCCGGGAGCCCGCGGCCGCGGTGGAAGCGCCCAGGAGTGCGCGCTCCCGGCCCGGACGCGCAGGCGCAGACAGCGTCTCCGGCAGCCGGCGGGGCGGGGGCGGGGCCGGGCGCGCGCGGTCGCCTAGGCGACAGCATCGCCGCTGCCCCGCGGAGACAGCATGAGGTCCAGCCCTGCGGCGGCGGCGGCGGCGGCAGGAACTGGGGGCCAGAGCCGCCCCCCCGACAGCTCCCCCACCCCGGCTGCGCACTCTCAGCAGGCCTCAAAGCACGGTAAGAAATAGGGGGTCGGTCGGCGCCCGTCCTCGCAGCCGGCTGCCGGAGACCCTCGGCTTGGGGAGCGGGGTGGGGTGCGGGAGGGGGTCCCCAAGCTCCACCAGGGCTCAGACCCTCGTGCGACAGTGTGTGCTGGAGGAAGGTGTGACTCCCGGTCTCCTGGAAGCGGAGCCTGGGGCTTCTCCGCTGCTTGATTGATCAATCAATCAATCAATCAATTAGTTCCTCCCCCCCCCCCCCAAGTCAGATCCGCTGAGCTAAGAAAATCTTGAGATCTTGCAGACATCGCACTTATGTGCCCCCTCCGTGTTCCATGTTCCATGTCTAGCGAATGCAGCAGAGTCTGCAGGCCAGATTCCCCGCCCCCTCCCCCCTTTCCGTTCTGATCCGCGCTGGGCGCCGGTAGCCAGGGACCCGGCCAGACCCGAGCGTGCTCCCGCCTGGTGACAGGGATGAAAGGCGGTATGCTCCGCCTTTGGCGCCAGATGGGAAAGAAATTTAAAAGATTTCAGTAACTAATTCGAAGTCACACTGCCAGTTCCAAGTAAAAACTCCGATCTGAATTCTTCCCCCTGGAATTCTCCAGTACCTTACTGGCTCTTCTCTTACTGGAAGGCTGGGCGACCCTCTCCGTAGGGATAGATCCCCCTTTCTCCAGGAATGTGTTGCTAGCTTAAAATCATTTGCAATTCAAGCTTCAGCATAAATGAGAAGCAAAGAAACTTGGGTTTGATTCTTGGCATCTGGCCCATAGCTAGTTCTGCCTAGGTTTTGCTTTGAGTAAATTTCTCCTCAGGAATTCAGTATAGGAAATAAATAAATATCTGAACCTTAAAATCCAGACATACCACGGATTTCATCATACTTTAATAGAGTTTTAACTGAAGTAAAATGTAACTAAAAAAATGTAGCAGGACATTTATACTTTACATTTGTAGCCAAGAATCGGAACAATATTGGTGTGACTTTGTTTAGCTACATTTAGCTTGTGTCTTCATAAAACGAGCTGTCTTTTGAGTTCCTTATTTGTAATAGCTCCTTAATTCAGGAGCTGGAAAGAGCCCAAAAGGAGTGGACACATGCTTTCCATGTAGGAGACCGATGTTCTTTTCCCAAGGAAGCGTCCTAAGCACCACTAGAAGCTGCTCTCAAGTGTTACATGGTCGTCCACGCTCTGCCAAGTATGACCCAAAACCAAACTACAAAAAGAAAGTTTGAAGGTACCAGATAGTCAGCGCCCACACCCGTGGCCACATCAGCTCACCCACTGGCCCTGGGCCCTGGTCTTCAGATTCATGATCTGAATCTTCGAGGAGTTGCAAGCCGAGCAATTAAAACTCCTGGACACCACTGGTCCCCCAGGCTCAGCACTCTTGGGCGCCCCCTGGAGGGGGTGGTCCAACCTGGGAAAGCCCTGGCAACTGCACCCACACACCGCTGCTGCCCTCATGCAAACATCCTACAGCCTAACATCACAACTTCACTAACAATCCCCGAGACTCATCCCAGTTCTACAGATCCTGAAGTTTCTGGGCCATACGGCTACTTACATAGCCTACCAGCACCTCCAAATTCCACAGTTATGCAATTCCAATAGAAACACACCAAATTAGATGAGAAAGGAGAAGCCAGCTAAACTCAACAAACAAAAACATTAACACTGAAGGCGTAGTTAGTGACAGCTTAGTAAAGCCCAAAGACTTAACAATCCTGTGATAAGGTATAATAATTTTCACAGATTTTCTTTTTTTCTTTCTCCCTCCCTCCCTCCCTCCCTCCCTCCTTTCCTTCCTTCCTTCCTTCTTTTTGGCCACACCCAGCTGTGCTCAGGGATTACTCCAGGCTCTGCACTCAGGGATCACTCTGGCAGGCTCAAGGGACCATATGGGGTGCCAAGGTTTGAACCTGGGTTAGTACTATGCAAGGTAAAAGCCCTCCCCACTGTACTTTTACTCCAGCCCCTTCAAATATGTTCTTTTACTAACATTTTTGATAATTCCTTTAGCCATTTGGTTGTCACTAGTAATATAAAACAAATACTGTGTGTCTGCTAAAAGGGAAGGCTTGAGGGGTAGTTGGAAAAATGGGGACAGTGTTGAAAGATTACTCAAATGATGGGATTAATGTTGAGCATTTCCTTAGTTGCCAAGCCCTGTTCTTTACTGGAGGTTAGTTCTCCTCATGGGTCACTTCCAGGTTCGTGTCTGTCCAACTTCAGTGGGTGCCTCAGTGTTTAGTTTCAGAAGATATTTTTATTCTCTCTCCTCTTCCTTCATCCTAAATCTCATCTTATTTACTTCTGTAGCATGACTCTGCATATTTTTACATGTCTTTGAAAGAAGTGTATTTGTTGGGAGGGGGTGAAAAAGTGCTCGTTGAATAATTTAGAGGCGATTAAAGTTAGAAAATTTATTTTTCTAACATTTCAGAGTCTGTTGGTGATGTTCAGAGACAATATTTGAGTCTATGTATAGAAAAGAAATGGAGAACCAATCCTTTTGTAGTGCACAAGTTACGTGAACTAGACAAAAACATTGAAAATGGGTAAGGAAGACAAAAAAGTATGAGTAACACTTATTGGTATTTGTATGATTTTACAGACATTTGAAATACTCAGTAAACTGGACATACTTTTATTTATTTAGTGGTTTCTATTCCACATATGGGGGTGCTCGAAGCATGCTCCCAGATCTATGCTCAGGAATCACTTCTGGCAGTGCTCAGGGGACCGGATTGAACCTGGGCTGGCTTCAAACAAAGCTAGCACCCTATCCACTGTACCATCACTCTGGCTCCTGGACATACTATATAATCAGAGAAGAGGGGCCTTGTTGTCAAGTCCAAAGGTTGTGGAATATATGACAAAGAGCACTAGACCTGCTGACTCCAGTTGGGGTCTTTGTTTTTGTGAGCCAGATTAATTTATGTAAACAATTGAAGGCTTTAATAAGATCATTATAAAGTTAAGAATCTTTGTTTTTGTGGAAAAATTCGATATAAAAAGTGCTTTGTAGAGTCCAGAGAAAGAGTACAGGAAGCAAGACACTTGCCTTACATGCAGAAGACCCAGGTTTTGAATCCTGGGCCCCACATGTGGTAGGTCCTCTGAGCACACTGGGAATAACCCCTGAGCAGCACAGAACTAGGACTAAGCCCTGAGCACCATCAGGTGTCACCCACCTCTAGACCAAAAAAGAAAAAAAAAAGAAAAAAAACCCCACTGCTTTGTGAAATTAATGGGATATACAATAATTTTAGTTTACCTATATTATTTATATTTAGTAATTTTAAGTTATCTATATCATGTTTAAACATAAACCACTATGTGATATGTACTTAGTTCCTATAAATGCAATCCATGATGACATATATAAATATGTATATATGTATATATGTACAAAATAATACTTTTTTTTATTACTGAGTTTCTTTGCGCTTCAAATCCCGTTTTGTAATTTTACAGACTGGAAGTAATTTCATTGAATTTGGCTGGTAATAATCGCTTAATACCAGTAGAAAGATTAACAGGTGAAGATTTTTGGATTCTTTGTAAAACTATAAAGAAGATCCGAAATATTGAAAGTACGTCTCCATAAGAATCATTGCCTCCTGCTTTTCATTTTCCTGACTTTAAGTGTTTAATTTAAGGAATATCACCTTCTGTTTGTCTGTATTCTCCAGGTTTGGATGTAAGATATAATACCATTGGGGATACTGGTGCGTTCTATGCTGCAGAATTGTTTCAGGTACTATTTTCTTTTTCTGAAAAATGAAGTTTATTAAATCAGAATCAAAGTGAAGAAAATTCCTGGCAGAAGAAAGCCGAATATACGTTAGTTTCGGGGTAGCTTAGAACAGTAAATAATGAAAAGATGTCCATTGATAAGAATTCAGTGAATCATTATTTGATTGAAACTGATACAGATGAGAGGAAAAAAAGGAAGAAAAAAAAACTACACAGCTCAGCCACCAGAGAAAAAGTATGGTGAGTAAGGCACTTGCTTTGTATACATTTGACTCAGGCCCAATCCCTGGCACCAAATATGGTTCTCTGAGCCTGCTGGGAGTGATCCCTGAGCACAAAACCTGGAGTAATTCTTGAGGCACATTGGGAATGCAATCCCCCTCCCCCCCATGTATCACTCATTGGAGGAAATAAAACAGATAAAGGGAAAAAGAAATATTACAGTACACATAAGTTACTCAAGAAATACATCCTGAAAACAAAAAACAAAAAAACAAAAATAAACAACTCGACCAACTAGAAGGTATGTAAAGGCAGTAAAACACATGGAAGACCCATACCTTCAATGCCTTCACTTTGAAAAATGAAAGATTTGGTTCTTTTTGTGTTTGAAAAACAAAAGCAAAATATTAAACACTTGGTTTTGTTGCCATTGTACATTTAGTAGACAGAAACAACACATGCTAATTTCTGCCTTTGGTTCTTGACCTGAAGAAAAGCAGCATGAATAGTAAACTGAGTCTTATGATTATTCATCACTAAAATGCCTTTAACAAAACATTTAGTATATCTCAGAAGTTTAAAAATTAATCCTCTACACAGCATCCTGCTGGTGCTTTCACCCCTGGCCGATGGCTTTGCAAGCAATTACGCTATTAACACTGTGCTGGGAGGTGACTAGGCAGAGGCCATCACAGAACCTTTAAATGTATCCAGATTAAATGCTGCTTCTAGCATGGTCAATTTGTACTAGTTTCCAGGAGTGAGGTGATGATATTTTTTTTAATTAATTAATTTATTTATTGAATCACCATGGGAAAGGTTACAAAGCTTTCAGGATTAGGTCTCAGTCATGCAAATATCAAGCACATTTCCCTTTACCAATACTTATTTTTTACCATGAAGAACCCCAATAAAACCCCACCCCCCACCCCTCCCAGTCCCTGTGGGGCAGATGAATTCTAGTTAACACTCTATCTGCTTTGATTAGATTCATTGTTTCAATAAAAGATTCACGACTATTATTTAGAGTTTACCCCCCCCCCAAATCAGACATGCTGACAAAGCATTGTGAAGTGATTTGCTTTCTACAGCTGGGTTCAAGAATTATATGTTGGTTTTGGATTTCTGCTATTTTACTTATTGACCCTGGAAGTATTTCTACTGAAAGTCAGATAGTTAAGAAATTGGTTTCTGTGCTCTGGAGTCGTGGCCGTGCTGGAGAGCCGCTAGTGGGGGGCAACTGGTGGCCTCTGTAGGGCGTGAAGGGCGGACCGAAACGCCCCCCTTCCCATGAGGTTTTAGTCGCCCCCTGTCCCCCGGCTCATACCTGCTGTCCACAAGGCTCCCATGCGGCCGCCATCTTTCTTTCCAGAGAGGAGAAGGCGACTGGGGCAACACCCTTTCCCCTCCGGACAGACCTGATGGCCTGGATTAACGCATAGTCCATTCACTTTTCTGCTCCAAGCTGCCGGGTTCTGCATTAAGTCCTTGTGCTTCTGGGGCCGTGGCCGTGCCGGAGAGCCGCTCGCGGGGGGCAACTGGTGACCTCGGTAGGGTGTGAAGGACGGACCGGAACGCCCCCCTTCCCATGAGGTTTTAGTCGCCCCCACACTCCCGGCTCATACCTGCTGTCCACAAGGCTCCCATGTGGCCGCCATCTTTCTTTCCAGAGGGAGGAGGGTGGAAGGGACCAACACCCTTTCCCCTCTGGGCAGACCTGATGGCCTGGATTAATGCATAGTCCTTTCACTTTTCTGCTCCAAGCTGCTGGGTTCTGCATTAAGTCCTTGTGCTTCTGGGGCCGTGGCCGTGCTGGAGAGCCGCTCGCGGGGGGCAACTGGTGACCTCGGTAGGGCGTGAAGGACGGACCGGAACGCCCCCTTTCCCATGAGGTTTTAGTCGCCCCCACACCCCCGGCTCATACCTGCTGTCCACAAGGCTCCCATGTGGCCGCCATCTTTCTTTCCAGAGAGGAGAGGGCGACTGGGGCAACACCCTTTCCCCTCCGGACATTCATGATGGCCTGGATTAACGCATAGCCCGTTCACTTTTCTGCTCCAAGCTGCTGGGTTATGCATTAAGTCCTTGTGTTTCTGGGGCTGTGGCCGTGCTCCAAACTTAACTATGATTTTCAGAGAGCAATGTTGGGTGGTTTACTTCCCATGGATCACTTTGTATATAGAGAGATGTCGTGCAGCCGCTTATGCAGCTGCATGGTTTTGAGGAAAAGTCCTAGTTCCCGCATACTCGAGCTGTGGTTGTAGAGGCTTCTGGTCACCGGGGTTCCATCTGGGGGAGGCGGGATGCGGTACCTACCCCATCTGGGGCTTCCCGATGATCTCGGCTCTTTTTGGAACCTGGTTTTTTTTTTTTTTCCCCTTCGGGATCTGTGGATCCCGCCCTCCATGTTGCCTTTCTCTTCGGCTGAATGCTGTAAATATGGCGCTGGGGGGCGGGCTGTGGGCGTGACTTCCGGAATCTGAGGTTACCTGGGAGTTGTAGTCCCGGCAGATTTGAGGAAAAGTCCAAGTTCCCGCATACTCGAGCTGTGGTTGTAGAGGCTTCTGGTCACCGGGGTTCCATCTGGGGGAGGCGGGATGTGGTACCTACCCCATCTGGGACTTCCCGATGATCTCGGCTCTTTTTGGAACCTGTTTTTTTTTTTCCTTCGGGATCTGTGGATCCCGCCCTCCATGTTGTCTTTCTCTTCGGCTGAATGCTGTAAATATGGCCTCAGGTACTATTTTACTACAAATTGGGCTCTTAATTTTCTTCTCTCTTCCCAGCAGTCAGTTAAGAACCAGTTCTTTCTTTGAATTGTACCCCCCCCCCCCAAAAAAAAACTGTTATAAGTTAAGCCTTTATTGCAGACTTCCCTTTTGGAAACTCACCTAGCTAAACCAACACTGTAGTTGTATTTTATCTCAACAGTGTGGTCAACAAGACTACTCGTATTTAAAGAAAAGGCCTTGTTTCAACCTTGGAGGATAGACAAATATATTTGTATTTTTTGTTTTCAGTTGAAGTGTTTAAAGCAGCTTATATCATTTTTAATTCCTTCCTTTTTCATTTTCTGTCTCTTTATCATCTGCTAAAAGCCCTTGTGATGAGCTCAAAGACCTTAAAATTATGATATCTATTAAAAGGAAAATAACATAAGATGGAGTGGTATGGTAATAAAATGGTAATAAAAATAGTATGAACTGACCAAGTTATTCTCAATAATCACTAGTAGAAACGTTTCAAAATCATTGTCAAAACATTCTTAGTTCTTGATACAGTGAAATCACTTAGTTTAATCATGCACATACTTGGTTTGCAAAATATTAAGGGTGATTGGAAACCTTAATATTTACACTGGTAACCCACTAACATTATGCATTGGAAACCCATTTGTGTATTTAATTTTCAATATGGTCAGTACCTTGCTATCCTAGTTTGTCTTTTTGCAAACATTGTGGCTAGTATTAAATCCTGACTTTGATTTATTGGTCAAAACAATATAGTCTAACATTGCAGTCATGTTGATGTTTAAATGAAAATGATTATTTCCCTCCTTAATTGTAGGTCCCTTACTAGTGCACAATAATAAAAAAAATATTGTTCTCTGTTCTGGGTTCTGGCTGTGCTATTGCTCCATCCCTATCCCTCATAAGTTCTTAAGTGGTAAAAATAACAGGAGCATCTTTATCTTACTGAGTGATGCTGAGTAAGCTCTCGGATGATTCCTTGATATGAAGCTGTTGAATGGAAAGACAAAATATGGTAAGAAGCTTGATCATTTCAACCTTCCATCCAATCATCACCCTGGAGAAGGAAAAGGGCTGGTAATGGAGTTAATCATCGATAATGCAAGAACTGGAAAGATAACTCAAATTGTAGTGCACATGCCTAGCAAGTGCCAAGTCATGAGTTTGCTCCCTGGTACTTCATGGTTTCCTGAGCACCATGGGGTACAGCCCTGTTGGTCCCAGAGCACCCTGGACCTGTGCCCAGCTGAGATGAGCCCTACCAGGAGTGACCCTTATAGCAAATATAATCTGAATTTAAAAATAGTAACTGGCCATGCCTAAGTAATCCCAGTAGTATGCATTTAAGAACTTCTTGGGGACCCACATATACAGGATTGTAGAGCAAGAGCTCCCACACTTCAAATTAATCAAACCAGAGAAGGTTTTGGAGACATCAGATTTACAATCCAGCTCCCGGAAGTACTGATGACAGCATGACCTTGTGAACATCTGAAGTGGGGTGAGGATTGTCTTGTGGGGCTGAAGCCTTTTCTTGTGTGATCTGATGTTCCCTCCAAGTTGACAGTGTCAGAAAACTCATCTGGTGTAGCAAAGAATTTTCTCATGCAAGAAAACTGACCCTTCTTGACTCCACCTCAGCCCCCAACACTCCTCCTTCAGTTTTCAAAAGTGTGAATGTGATAGCAGCCTGAGCAAAAGAGAAAACTGAAAAATAAATAAATAAGAGAAACATGATGGGGAAGTTAAAAAAAAACACCTGGACTTTAATAATTTCTGTTATAATGATTTGTTTTCTTTTTTGATATTTGGGTCACACCCAGCAATGCTCAGAGGTTACTCCTGGCTCTGCACTCAAGAATTACTCCTGGCGGTGCTCAGAGGACCATATGGGATGCTGGGAATCGAACCTGGGTCAGCTGTGTGCAAGGCAAACGCCCTACTCACTGTGCTATCGCTCCAGCACCTATAATGATTTTCTTAACAAATGATTTTCTTAACACTTAAAGTAGCTAAAGTATATGTACACATAATACAATTGATTTTTTAATAATTCATATGTAATTTCTTTTCTCTCCTTATAGAAACACCCAAATCTCAGATATGTAAACCTCATGTTTAATGATATTGGGCCTGAAGGTGGAGAATTGATTGCTAATGCATTATTTGTAAGCATTTATATATCTCAGAGTGACATTTCATGTGGGAATTATTATTTCTGACAGCTTGGACCCAGCAAAGCAAAATATTAACTTGTATTTTAATTTTGTTAATTTAAAATTTGTTACCAATAATATATTAATCTAATGGGAATGTGTATTTTATTAATTAGTATGTGGGCATTTTATAAGCACTTTTGAGCTCTTTTGTAAAAAAAAATTATATAGATTTTGAGCCAAAGAGATAGTACAGCATATGACATTAGCCTTGCACACAGTTAATCCAGGTTTGATCCCAACCACCAAATATTGTTCCCTGAGAACTGTTTGAAGTAATTCCTGAGCAGCTCTGGGTATGACCCCCAAACAAAACAAAAACACGTTGATTTATTTTAACTTGAATTATTTTGGGTTTGTGGGGTGGTGGAGATCAACACATACAAGTCAAATACTCTACCATGAAGCTATTTCTCTGGTCCCCACTTTATTAAGACATGTAATCACATACATGAAAATTAGCTTTTTTTGTATAACAATACAAAAAACTTGCAAAGTTTTTGTATTTATTTCTGTCTTCTTTAGTGCCTTTTCAAAGATGTTTGATTTCCAGTATAAAACTTGTCCCTTTTGTTTAATTTGTAATTAGTGTTTTACGCTTTTCTAGCTTTATAAGTGGATTTATCTTTTTTTTTCTTTTCTTTTACTTTATGGATCACACCCAGATGTGTGTCTTACTCCTGGCTCTGTGCTCAGCGATTACTTTTCAGCAGGGTCTCAGGGAACCCTATTCGGTGCCGGGTGACCAAACCTGGGTCAGCTATGTGTGGTACTCTCTCTGGCCCCTAAGTGAAATTTTCTTTACTTTTGGATTATTCACTGCTAGCTTATGGAAATAAAAATTGAGGAATGGAGAAATAACACAAGGTTAATGAGCATGATTTGCTCCCCAAATATTGCCCCCCACTGTCACATGATTCCCCCGCAAGCACTCTCACCACATGCAGCTCTGGGTGTTCTGGAGTGTGGCACTGGAGAATCAGCACCTCATACCCAGGGGCACCACATACACAAGATCTTGCACTGAACCTTCCGCCAGATTGAAAATTTCCAGGAGGGGCCCCTGGGTTTCCTGAGCACTACTTGGGAGGCCAAATGAACAAAATTGATTCTTATATATTTATCTTCTATCCTGTAGTTTTGCTAGACTCAATTATTAATTCTATCATGTATGTGTGTATGTATTCTTTACACACAAGACCAGGTCAGGGCCAGAGCAGTGGTACAGCAAATAAGGTGCTTGCCTTGCATGTAGCTGACCCAAGTTGGATCCCTCGCACCCCATATATCTCATGCCCTCCCCCACCATAAACCCACCAGGAGTGATCCCTCACTGCAGAGCCAGGAATAAGCCCTGATCATTGCCAGATGTGGCCCCCAAACAAAAAACAAAACAAGACCATGTTACGTCCAGATTATTTTGCTTTTTTTTTTTTTTTGCCAGACTACCTTGGCTAGAATAACCAGTAGCACTGTAGCACTGTCCTCTGGTTGTTCATGGATTTGCTCGAATGGGCACCAGTAACATCTCCATTGTGAGACTTGTTACTGTTTTTGGCATATCAAATATGTCACAGGTGGCTTGCCAGGCTTTGCCGTGGGGGCAGAATACTCTCGGTAGCTTGCTGGGCTCTCCGAGAGGGGCAGAGGAATCGAACCTGGGTTGGCCCCATGCAAGGCAAATGCCCTACCCGCTATGCTATCATTCTGGTCCAGAATAACCAGTACACTGTTAAATAGAAGTGATGAGAGTGGACATCCCTGCCTTCTTCCTACTCTTAAAGGAAAACTAATTGCTTTTAAGGATATTATTTCTACTACTTATTCTCACATTTATTCATTATGAAATAGCTGTAATTTTCTTTGTGATAAATTTCTTTGCCAAAAAAATGAAAGATATAGAATTAAACATCTTGGGGAAATGCCTAAGAAATTATATTGCTCTAAAAGTGATGTGACAAAATTTGAACTTCATTAGCTAATTTTAAGTTAAAATGGAATTATTGAAGGATTCGAGTAGAAAAATGATATCAATTTATGTGTTTGTGTTCATTGAATACATTTGCTAAAATATGATTAAAGTATGTACTGACTGAAAAAAAAGTGAGGTGGGGGAATGTGTAATTATTGCTTAATGGGAACAATTAGGGGATGATAGAAATGTTTTGGAACTTACTACAGGTTATGTCTGCACAATATTGTGAATATATTAAAAACAGCAAATAGTACATTTTAAAATAGTTGACTTTTTGTTATACGAATTTCAACCACCTAGTGGAAAAATAGCAGTATCATTTTCTTAAAGATACATTTACAGATTTTCCAGTGGAAACTTATTAAAAACTTCCTTAATACACTGCCCATTGGGCATTTGTTTCCAGAAATTCTTTCTTGAGAACTAATAGTAAACTAATTTGTTTTTGTTTGGGGGTGACACCAGTGATGCTCAAGGGTTACTTCTGGTTCTTCACTCAGGAATTAGGAATTAGTTCTGGTAGTGCTTGGACAAACATATGGAATGCTGGGGATGGAATCTTGGTCGGCTGTGCACAAGGCAAGCACCCTGCCAGCTGTATTATCTCTCTGGTCCCCTAATATTTTCTGATTATGGGAGATTGATAATCCTTTTAAGGAATATATCCTAATATTTGTTAATGAGAAAACTGTTTCCTAACTTATGCAATATAACAAAAATTATGTATATCACAATTTTAACCAAGTTTTGACCTTTTCCTTTACAGATGAATGAAACTCTCAAAAACCTAAGAATGACTGGAAACAAGATTGAAAATAAAGGGGGGATGTTTTTTGCTTCAATGCTACAAATGAATTCATCTTTAGAAATGTTAGATCTGGGTGACTGTGACCTGGTGAGTAAATTGATAATAAGAAAATCACCTGGATATTGGATCATTCTCTCTGGCAATCAGTGTAGATTGGCAATCTACACTGGCAATCTCTGACACCAGCAAATGGAAGTCTTATGAATGGCTAAATTTACCCTTAAATATAATCATTTGATCACTTGACATCCTGTTACGCATCAATTCGCTTGAGTGGGCGCCAGTAACGTCTCCATTCATCCCTGTAGAGTGCTAGTGTAGCCCAATGGCGTCTCCTCGCTCCAGGAACACGAAGAGCCTCAAACCATTCATTCAGGGTCCTGACAAAGAAGTCTGACCATCCCGTAGGTGGGCATCCATGCGATCTTTTGATGTCCCGTGGAATCCAGTCGGTAACAGCTCTAGTCCAGTGGTCGTCTCCAAATCTCATTATATGTCCAGCCCATCTGATTTTCGACACCTTGTCAAATGAGACAGCATCCCTGATTCTCGATCGTTGATGGAGGTCAGAACTCAGGATTCCTTCTCTCACTTGAGTGAAGCATGATACTCCTAGCATAGCTCTTTCGATTCCCCTTTGGGAGACCCGAATAGCGTTCTCATCCTGTTTTTGTAGAGCCCAGGCCTCTGAGGCATATATTAATGCAGGAAGAACAGTAACAACAAGTCTCACAATGGAGACGTTACTGGTGCCCAGTCAAGCAAATCCATGAACAACAGTGCTACAGTGCTGTAGTATAAGAACCGGACAAAGGAATGTAAGGTATTAAAGGGGGAATACTTCTATTGCACTTGATCCTAAGTACATGAAGGAGAAGGACAAGGAAGGAAAAAAATTGAAGGAGAAAAATAGGCAGATGGGAAGTGACAGGGACAGGAGGCAGGGGCCTCTGGCTCATCAATGGGGTAGAGATATGGTGTATCTATACATTGTAACTACAGAGCCAATAATAATGCATGGGATCTAAGCTACAACCAAACTTATAAAGGTGCCTATCAAGGAGGCAGGTCGAACCTGGAGATACTGGTGAAGGGAAGGTAAGAGCTAAAATGATGTTGGTGGTGATATTGGTAATGAAATTTGTATGCCTACAACTAAGCTATAGATAACTTTGTAAATCATAGTGCCAGATAGTTGTGGCCCCCAAACCAAGAAAAATTTATTAATTAATAATAATATTAGAGGATGAGAGATAGTTAATCAAGTAGGATACTTGCCTTGCAGATGGTGGACCAAGGATCAATTTCCACCATCCCATCTGGCTCCCTCAGCACCAGCAGGAGTAATTCCTGAGTGAAGACCCAGGAGTAACCCCTGAGCATCATCAGGTGTGGTCAAAAACCAAAAGCATAATAATGATAATAATAACAAAGATAACCCTTGTTTCTCTGTGGAGAGAATTGAGAGAGTGGCAAGGAGAAGCATATTGACTACTTCAGAAGTTACTGCAATAAATGAGGTCGGAAGCGTAATGGCATACATGGGGTGTAATGATGGCCATAAAAATGGACTGAATTGAGACATATTTTGGAGATAGAATCTTAAAGCTTACTGTTATGAATTTGCTAGAGACTAAGAGAAATGGTGGATAAGAGGAGGCTCAAATTTTCTAACATATCAGCTTTGTGTGTAGGGTAGTGTGGTCACCAGAGATGGGGAGAATTAGGCCCCTCCAATAAGGTAAAGATGAGGAGGCCTATACAAGCTGTGAAAAGTCATGGTTGGTAATCTCCTGCCATTCACGCAATTACAATACTAGTGTTGAGTATCGACACTTGTTACACAAAGACATGTTCTAAGTACCATGCATCATAGCTGGGATTCAGTACAGGTATGCAAAGTTGAGGTTTGCATCCTCTTTTTGAGAACTTGGAAGCAAACCTAGAGGCAAATATCCTAACTCCTCATGTTTTAGGGCTGGAAAAAAGAATACGAATAATTTTTTTTTATATTTGATCAACCTATAAAACAACTGAGTAGGCACTGTTTAACTTTTTAAAAAAAATACACAGCAGTGTTTGAAAGGGGCAATGCCTGCCTCACTATTGACACCAGAGTTATAGGGAGGTCAGAGAAGGAAAGAAATCCAGGGGGTAGGAAGAGATTGTCAGGAAGCAAAGGAATCAGGGGTTCAGGGCAATCTGAGGACTTCAGTGGTGTAAAGGAGAGTCGAGCTAAGTATCCAAACCAAAGAGTTAGCAATACTAAAAACAAGAGATACAAATTTCAACACCCAAACTTAAAAAATGTGCCTGTCCTAGCTGGAGCGATAGCACAGCGGGTAGTGCACACGGCCAACCCAGCATCCCATATGGTCCCCCGAGTACTGCCAGGAGTAATTCCTGAGTGCAGAACCATGAGTAACTCCTGTGCATCACTGGATGTGACCCAAAAAGAAAAAAAAAGTGCCTGTCAAAAAAAAAAAAAAAAAACCAAAATGTGCTGGAAATGCTGACAGAGGGGAGATTACACTGATTTGGAATTGGTGCTGGAACACAGTGTGTCTCAAATCCTTAAACTATGAATAACTCTGTAAGTAATTATACTTTAATAAAATATTTTATGATGTTGTGCAGCGTGACATCATATGCTCTTCATAGCCAGCAATAGAAAACAAATTATCTAATGATGTCTTTTTGGCAGGTCTGACTGTTGGGGAAAATTCCAAATATTAATGGTTGGTCTTTTGTCTTAATATTGAATGTGATCAATGTAGAGAGAGAGTAAAGTGGAAAGGGAGGTTCTTGGTGGTTCTTAGTGGTGGAAAATGTGCACTGGTGAAGGGATGGGTGTCTGATCATTGTATGACCGACCGAGACTTAAACTGAAAGGCTTTGTGACTGTTCTCAAAGTGATTCAATAAATAAAAAATTAATTAATAATAATAATGTTTTAGAAGGCACAACTCTGATTTATCACAATCCAGATTATTAATCTTGAAATACTTATGGAGATTAATATACATACTCCTGTGAGTTACAGTAATGAATTTTGATGTTTGCAGGGAATGCAAAGTCTGATAGCATTTGCTACCGTCCTAACTCAGAACAAGACACTTAAAGGAATTAATTTAAATCGACCTATACTATATGGTCAGCAGGTATGTATTCAGAATGATGGCAGTTAATGGTGCATGCAAACCAAATAGGTGCTACTGAGGGTTATGTCTAGGATCATGAATGCATTGAATTTCTTTTTTTTAAACTTTTATTAGTGAATATAATTATAATTATAATATTATATATAATTATATTTATATAATATAGAAATATATTTAATTATATATTATATAATATATAATATATGTTATATGTTATATATTATATATTATATAACAACATATTATTTTATTATATTGATATAATTAATATTAATATAGTAATATTAATATCAATACAATAATATATTATATTAATATAACTATATATTATATATTATATATAATAATATATAATTATATATAATTATAATTATAATATTAGTGAACTGTACCTCACCATGAGGTACAGTTGTAGACTTACAAATTTTTGTGCTTGGATTTCAGTTATACAATGATCGAGTACCCATCCCTCCACTAGTGCCCATTCTCCACCACCACTAATCCCGGTATCTCTCCCACCCCCCCAACCCCCATCCCACCAGGTATACATAAATCTTGTAAACAATTTCTACCAAAAAATCTTTATTTGAGGGAAGATAACAAAATTTTTGGGGGGGTGATGGGTATACCAGTGTTGTTCAGGGGCCACTCCTGGAAAAAATATAATTCTTGATAGATAGGACTCATAACTAAATACGACTTTATTTTATTTGACAGGGGGTGGAGGGTGCTGCTGGCCTCTCCTGGCTTTGCCAGAGATTGCTCCTGGTTCTGTGCTCTGGGATCACTCAATCCTGGTGCTGCTGGGGGCTACGAGGTGGTGGCAAGTGCCTTACCCTCTGCATTATCTCTCAGGTCTGAAACGTGATTTTAAATGATGCTTGTTTAAGTAGTACATGTTACCTTTTTCCACATAATTTCTCAATGACTATAACTGTGAGGAGCAAGGTAGTTAAGATGAGAACATGGATGATTTAAATGTCAAAGAATTATAAGATCGCATAATAAATTTTAAAAATGATAGGATCCTACATTTTTTTGTTTTTATATTGAAGTGAGTATACCATTTTTTCTTTTTTTATGTAGGAGCATTGCTATTTATTCAGCCATTAATTAGGCTGATTGAATTGGACATGAACTCCACCTTACTTTTTTTCCCCTTTTTTATAATTTTATTTATTGAATCATTGTGAGAGCAGTTACAAAACTTTCGGGTTTAAGTCTTGATCATACAATAAAACACCCGTCCCTTCACCACTGCCCATTTTCTAACACCAAAAACCCCAGTAGACCCCTATCCCACACTCTCCCCCTACCTGTGGGGCAGATGATTTCCATGTTACTCTCTCTCTACTTTGATTACATTCAATATTTTGACACCAGACCCACCATTATTATTTGGAATTTTACCCCAACACTCAGATCTGCCAAAAGGCAATGGTAGACAAATTGTTTTCTATTGCTAGTTATGAATAACATACGAGGCCGCAGTAGTGGCCGCACGTTTTTGGAATTCTGAATTTTAACAATTAAATCTGGAGGGATTTCTGCCAAAACTTTCTGGGTTCCGAGATTTGTTCCTGAGTCTCTTGGATCATGGCCGTTAAGCAGCTTGATCAGGAGCCAGAAAGGCCATTCATGGGCGGCGACTTGGGGTCTCATTGGGGCGGGGAGAAAAGGGCCGGCTCCACCCCCATCCCATGAGGCCCCAAGTGTCTCATCATTGTGGGCCCATTTCTACTCATCCAGTGGCCTCAGGAGGACGGCAGCCACCGAGCCACCAGGGCGAACAGGCCAAGGCATGAAACCTATTCCCCCCTGGGCTGGCCTGGAGCCGGTAACCTATTGCAGGGACTGGATGCATTTCTACCAAAAGCCGCTGGGTTCTGAGATTTGTTTCTGAGTCTCTGGGATCATGACCCTTAAGCAGCTTGATCAGGAGCCAGAGAGGTTGTTCATAGGTGGCAACTCGTTGGGTTGGGGAGGAAGGGCCAGCTCCACTCCCATCCCATGAGGCTCCAAGTGTCTCATTACTGCGGGCTCAAACCTGACTGTCCAGTGGCCTCTGGAGGATGGCGGCCATCGAGCCGCCAAGGGGGAGCAGGCGGAGGGACAGCACCCTTTCCCCCTTGGGGTGGCCCAGTGACAGTAACCTACTACAGGGTCCAGACACATTTCTGCCAAAAGCTGCTGTGTTTTGAGATTTGATTCTGAGTCTCTGGGATCATGCTGTTAAGCAGCTTGATTAGGAGCAGAATGAGTATACCATTTTATCTTTGTAATTGTGGGTTAAAATGACAAATATGAATGAATAGCATTCTAAGCTTGTACTTGATCCTACTGGTAGACTGCATGCTGGAGAGAAAGTAGGATAACTCCAATTTTCTTTTTTTTTTTTAATTTTGTATTGGTGAATCACCATGAGGTACAGTTACAGACTTACAGATGTTCGTGCTTGTGTTTCCAGTCATGCATTGCTCGAGTACCCATCCCTCCACCAGTGCCCATCCTCCACCACTAATGATCCCAGTATTCCTCCCATCCCCCACCCCATCCCCCCGCCCCATCCTACCTCTGTGGCAGGACATTACCTTTTGTTCTCTCTCTCCTTTTGGGTATTGTGGTTTGCAACAGAGGTTTTGAGTGGCCATCGTGTTTGATCTATAGTCTACTTTCAGCGCACATCTTCCATCCCAAGCGGGTCCTCCAACCACATTTTACCTGGTGTTCCCTTCTCTATCTGAGCTCCCATTTCCCCCAGTGTGTGAGTCCAGCTTCCAAGCCATGGAGCAAACTTCCTGGTACTTATCTATGTTATTCTTGAGTGCTAGTCTCCATTCTGTTATTTTATATTCCACAGATGAGTGCAATCTTTCTGTCTTTTTCTTTTTGACTCATTTTACTTAGCATGATACTTTCCATGTTGATCCACTTATATGCCACTGTCATTACTTCATCTTTTCTAACAGCTGGATAGTGTTCCATTGTGTAGATGTACCAAAGTTTCTTTAACCAGTCATCTGTTCTCGGGCACTTGGGTTTTTTTTTGCAAATTCTGGCTATTGTAAACAGTGCTGCAATGAACATAGAAGTGCAGATGTCATTTACACTATACTTTTTTGTCTCTTCGGGATATATTCCCAGAAATGGTATTGCTGGCTCAAATAGAAGCTCAATTTCTAATTTATTTGAGAAGAATCCATACATTTTTCCAAAAGGGCTGAACCAACTGGCATTCCCACTAGCAGTGACGGAGGGCCCCTTTCTCCCCACATCCACACCAACAACGGTTGCTTTTGTTCTCTTGGATGTGTGCCAGTCTCTGTGGTGTGAAGTGGCATCTTATAGTTGTTTGCATCTGCATCTCCCTGATGATTAGTGATAAAGAGCGGGTTTTTTTGTGTGTGTGCCTTTTGGCCATTCGTATTTCTTCCTAGAGAAAGTTTCTGTTCATTTCATTGCTCTACTTTGTGATTGGGTTCGTTCTTTTCTTCTTGTAGAGTTCAACCAGTGCATTCTAGAACCTTGATATCAACCCCTTGTTAGATGAGTATTGGGTGAATATTATTTTCCATTATGTACATTATCTTTGTATTTGAGTCATTGTATCTTTTTGCAGTGTAGAAGCTTCTTAGTTTAATATACTGCAATGTGTTTATCTCTGTTTCCACTTGGTTGGTCAGTGGCATGTCATCTTTGAAGATATCGTTAACGTCAATATCGTGGGGTTTTGCTAAACTTGTCTTCAGTGTACCTTATGGATTCTGGTCTAATGTTGAGGTCTTTAATCCATTTTGATCTGATTTTTGTGCATGGTGTTAAGTCGAGATCTAAGCCCATTTATTTGCATGTGGTTTTCCAGTTATGCCAGCACCATTTGTTAAAGAGGCCTTCCTTGTTCCACTTCAAATTTCTTGCTCCCATATCAAAGATTAGATGTTCATACATTTGGGGTTGTGTGTAGAAATATTCTACCCTGTTTCATTGGTCTGTGGCTCTGCCGTTGTTCAGTACCATGCTGTTTTAATTATTACTGCTTTGTAGTAGAGTTTGAGGTTGGGGAATGTGATGCCTCCTATCGTCTTTTCCCCAAGAATTGCTTTAGCTATTCGTGGGCATTTGTTGTTCCATATGAATTTCAGGAGTGCTTGATCTATTTCTTTGAAGAAATTCATGGGTATACTTATAGGGATCACATTAAATCTGTATAGTTGGGTCAAATGGGAGATCAAATTCTAATTTTTTGAGAATCGTCCATAATGTTTTCCAAAAGGGTTGGACCAGCCGGCATTCCCACCAGCAGTGAAGGAGGGTCCTTTTCTCTCCACATCCGCGCCAGCACCAGTTGCTTTTGTTCTTGTGGATGTGGGTCAGTCTCTGTGGTGTGAAATGATATCTCATTGTTGTTTTGATCTGCATCTCTCTGATAATTAGTGATGTAAAGCATTTTCTCATGTGCCTTTTTGCCATTCAAATTTCTTCTTTGCGAAAGTTTCTGTTCATTTCCTCGCCCCATTTTTTGATGGGGTTGGGTGATTTCTTCTTGTGGAGTTCAACCAGTACCTTGTATATCCTTGATATCAACCCCTTGTCGGATGTGTATTTGGTGAATATCCTTTCCCATTCTGTAGGCTGTCTTTGTATTTTGGTCACTGTTTCTTTTGAGGTGTGACCCAGCTATAGCACTCCTGGGAATATATCCCAGAGAGGCAAAAAGGTATAGTCGAAGTGACATCTGCAATTGTTTGTTCATTGTAGCACTCTTTACAATAGCCAGAATCTGGAAAAAACCTGAGTGCCTGAGAACAGATGACTGGTTAAAGAAACTTTGGTACATTTGCACAATGGAGTACTATGTAGCTGTTAGAAAAGATGAAGTTATGAAATTTACATACAAGTGGTACTACATGGAAAGTATCATGGTAAGTGAAATGAGTCAGAAAGAGCGGGATGACACAGAAAGATTGCATTCATCTGGGGAACATAAAGCAACAAAAGGGGAGACTAACGCCCAGGTGCGGAGGGCCCGCAAACCACTTTCCAGCCCGCGGAGGTGGCCCTAGGATCCGTAGGTGCAGGGAAGGACCAACCGAATGAACACAAGACACAAGAGACAGAGTACAGTTTAGAAATAGAGAGAAAAAGGGAAAGCACTTTATTGAGGGATACAGGCTGTTTATATAGGGTCCGGGCAGCTCAGTCAGGAGCAGAAGCAGTATAACCATATATGGTAAGGTCACCAACAAGAGCTTTACCTAACATTCACTTAATCACTTAATCACTTAACTTCCCGTTAGTCGTCGATTTGCTCGAGCAGGCGCCAGTAACGTCTCCATTTGTCCCCGTCGCGTGCTAGTGTAGCCCAATGGCATCTGTTCGCTCCGGGAACATGAAGGGCCTCAAACCGATCGTTCATGATCTTGACGAAGAAGCCTGACCATCTGGTAGGTGGGTGGCCACGCGGTCTTTTGACATCCCGTGGAATCCAGTCAGTAACAGCTCTAGTCCAGCGGTCGCTTTAAATCTCATTACGTGACCAGCCCATCTGACTTTCGACACCTTGGCAAATGAGACAGTGTCCCTGATTCTTGATCATCGACGGATGTCAGAACTCCGGATTCTTTCTCTCATTTGAGTGAAATGTGATATTCCAAGCATAGCTCTTTCTAGTCTTCTTTGGGAGACCTGAATAGCGTTCTCATCTAACATTCAAGGTAGACATTTGTACCTCAAAGGGTCTTGTGGCAGAAGGTGCATCCTGAGCTTTACATTTGTATATCAAAGGGTCTTAGGGAGTAGATGTATCCTGGAGGTTACTATAGATAAGGCCGGATAAGCTGTCAGCCTAATATTGCTTGCTATAGATCAGGCATTCACTGAGATCAGGAAGTCCTGAGAGACTGTCACCAATGTCTGTCCCAAGCAGTTCCTAACATGGGAAACACGGCCAGAGTCTATGAGAGGGCTCTTGGCTTCCCACACCCAGGAATGGCTGAGATTAGTACCAGGAATTTTGCTCCATGACTTGAAGGCCAGCCACACGTGCTAGGTGAAAAGGAAGCTCAGATAGAGAAGAGAGCACCAAATAAAGGGTGTTGTGATGACCCTCCCAGGGTGGGAGAAGCATGCTAAAAGTAGTCTATAGACCAAACATGATTGCCACTCAATGCCTCTCTTGCAAAACACAGGACCAAAAGAAGAGAGAGAGAACAAGGGGGAATGCCCTGCCACAGAGGCAGGGTGGGACGGGGGGGGGGGGGGGGGGGATGGGGGATGGGGGGATGATGGGACCCATGGTGGTGGAGGATGGGCACTGGTGGAGGGTTGGGTACTTGATCATTGTATAACTGAAACCGAAGCACAAAAATTTATAAGTCTATAACTGTACCTCATGGTGTTTCACTAATAAAAAAAATTTTTAAAAATCTGTATAGTGCTTTGTGGAGTATTTCAATTTTGACAATGTTAATTCTTCCTATACATGAGCAGGGGAAATCTTTCCATTTCCTCGTATCCTCTTTTATTTCATGGAGTAGCGTTTTGTAGTTTTCTTTGTAGAGGTCCTTTACCTCCTTAGTTAGGCTGATTCCGAGGTACTTGATTTTCTGGGGCATGATTGTGAACAGGATTGCATTTTTCATGTCGCTTCCCTCTCTCTCTCATTATTTGTGTATAGGAAGGCTATGGATTTTTGGGTATTGATTTTATAGCCTGCGACTTTAATGTACAAGTCTATTGTTTCTATGAGTTTCTTGGTCGAGGCTTTAGGATTCTCTAGATATAGTATCATATCATCTGCAAATAGTGAAAGCTTGATTTCTTCCTTTCCTATCTGGATGTCCTTCAATATCTTTTTCTTGCCTAACTGCTATTGCAAGTACTTCCAGTACTATATTGAACAGCAGTGGAGTGAGTGGAATCCTTGTGATAACTCCAATTTTCAAAGCTTCTCCTTGCTCTTTAACATTAAAGGGTTTTCTTGTTGGTTGTGCCAAGCTAGGGAATAAGGACTTATTTTTTTACAGCAAGTCTAAACAGCAACAACTATATATATAATATAAAATATATATCTTCATTATTATAAAGTTTATTGCAAATGCAGTAATCTGGCACTTAAGCAATGAAATACTTTGTTTTATAAATATATGTTTTATAAATATATATATTTCCATTTTATTCATTTATTTTTCCCTCTTTTTAATTGAATCACCATGAGATACACAATTACAAAGTTGTTCATGATTGGGTTTCAGTCATATGGGTTCCAACCCATCCCTTCACCCGGTATTTTATGTACATAAAAATTCAAATGTGTATTTCTTACCACTGTTTTCAGTTTCCCTTTGGCCACCTCCCCATCCCCCCAGCCTGCCTCTCTGGCAGTAGTTTTTTCCATTTTAAAGCCGAGCCAAACAACGTCAGACTGTAGACTAATCATCCTCTAATCTTTTATGGTAAGTTAAATAACTTAGTATGTTTGGGGTAAATGTGTACTGTTTCAAAATTGTATTTTTGAAGAAAATATTCTGTTTTTAGGAAGAGTCCACAGTTCATTTAAGTTACATGTTGAAAGAAAATCACTGTCTCATTGAGCTACACATGTGCAAGCATGATATTAAAAACTGGGGTTTCAAACATTTGTGTGAGGCACTGTATCTGAACAGTAGCCTACGCTACCTTGATGTCAGCTGGTAAGTGATAATTTAAACATTTAGTAGCTCCAATTAAGTCATGGGAATAATCCATACAAATATTCAGAGTATAGGGTCCCCGAGAGATAGCACAGTACATAGCCACCGGCCTTGCACCAAGAATGATCCGTGTCACAGAGCCAGGTTAATCCTGAGCACACCTGGGTATCCCCCCCCCCCCCCAACAAAGGTAAAAAGGTAAAGGCCCTCCCGTTGATCATCAATTTGCTCGAGCGGGCCCAGTAACATCTCCATTGGAGACTTTGTTGTTACTGTGTCTGGCATATCGTATTCGATATGCCCCCCAACAAAACAAACAAAAATAAATATTCAGAGTGCATAGGATTCAAATTCTTTTAAGATACAAATTCTGAAGATTGGACTATATAACCATTGTAACTTTTTTATCGTAAGCCTTATTATTTAGTTTATTCTGATATCTTCTGGTAACCTGAGTTATATAATTATGTAAGCCAAATGGAAGTCATATGTTATGGCATATTTTTGTTAACTTTTTTTGAAATTAAGCAATAAAATATTCATTAAAATGTACCTCTTATTACTCTAATAATTTCTAAACAAGTTTTTTAATAGAATATTATTTATTTTTAAAATGTTTGAACTTTTTCTTTTCCTAGCAATAACATAACTCGTGATGGAATGAAGTTTTTGGCTGATGTGTTGAAAAATAATACCACATTGGAAGTAATAGATCTTTCTTTTAACAGAATAGAAAATGCAGGAGCAAATTATCTTAGTGAAACTCTTGCTTCACACAACAGAAGTCTTAAAGCGTTAGTATGGTTTTTATATTTATTTCAAATAACAAAATAAGTTACATTTTTATAATACTATATCCAAAATTCTTTAACTCTTAATATGCATGATGAAATACACATTTCTAAAATGACATACTAGTAAGCTATCACTGTCACTGTCCTCCTGTTGTTCATCAATTTTCTCAAATGGGCCCAGTAACGTCTCCATTGTGAGACTTTGTTGTTACTGTGTTTGGCAAATTGAATACATCATGGGTAGCTTGCCAGGCTTTTGCCATGCGGGCAAGATACTCTCGGTAACTTGCCAGTCTCTCCGAGAGGGGCGGAGGAATCGAACTTGGGTCAGCCATGTTGGCTGCATGCAAGGAAAACTCCCTACCTGCTGTGCTATCGCTCCAGTCCAGTAAGCTATAATAAACATTTTGACTTATTCTTTTTCAAAATTAGTGTCTTTAAAAGTTAGATAGATTCTAGTTGACTGAGTATGGCTGAGGATAAGAGGCTGGAGAAATATCTCAGTGGGCTGAAGTATGTGTTTTACGTGCAAGAGACCTTGGTTCAGTCACAGGCATAGCATCATCTCCCACGCATTACCAGGAGTGATCCCAGGGAGCACCAAGCCTGGTGTGGTCCAAAGACAAAACAAAAAGATTGATAAGATGAAATTTTTATTTTTTTGTTTTTTGTTTGTTTGTTTATTTGGGGGCCGCATCCAGAAATGCTCAGGCATTATTCCTGGTTCTGTACTCAGGAATTAGTCCCCATGGTACTTGGGAAACCATATGGGATGCTTGGGATTGAACCCAGGTAAGCCAGCCCCATGCAAGGCAAGTGCCCTAACTGCTATACTATCACTGTGGCTCCTGATGATAAAATTCTTATTGCCATTCTTGTGTATGTTTAAGTCTAACAGAAAAACCATAATCACGTAATATAGTCAAAACATTTTTTAACTTTTTAAAAAATTTTTATTTATTGAATCACCGTGAGAACAGTCACAAAGCCTTTCAGTTTAAGTCTTGGTAGGTCATACAATGATCAAACACCCATCCCTTCACCAGTGCACATTTTCCACCACCAAGAATCCCAGTATACCCCCCTCCAACCTCTTCCCCTGCCTGTGTGGCAGATTTCCACTTTACTTTCTCTCTACGTTGATCACATTCAATATTACAACAGAAGACCCACCATTATTACTTGTAATTTTCCCCAACATTCAGACCTGCCAAAAAGACATCATTAGATAATTTTCTATTGTAGTTTTCTATAGATAGTTTTCTATTGCTGGTTATGAAAATCATATGATGCCGTGCGGCCACCATTATGGCCACATGATTTTGGATTTCTGATATTTTAGTAATAAGTCTAGAGGGACTACTGCCAAAAGCCCTGGGTTCTGAGATTGGTTTGTGTGCCTCTGGGATCATGGTCATTCAGGAGCCGGAGGAGGTGTTGTGGGTGGCAACTCGGGGCCTTGTCAGGGTGGGGAGCAGGGCCGGTTCCAACTCCCTATCCCATGAGGCCCCACGTGCCTCGTCACTGCAGTTTCCTACCTTCCTGTCCATTAGGCTCTAAAAGATGGTGGCCATCATGCCGCTGCCTCCGGGGGAAAGGCAGAGGAACAGACACCCTTCCCCTTCCAGGGGGCATAGCACCATAGTTTAATGCACAGTCCAGATGCATTTCCGTTGGGCATTATATTTTGCTCAATTTTTCCCACCACCATTCAAGCCTGCCTTCCGGGGACGCTCAATCACAATATAGACAAAACTTTAAAAGTGAAATTAGAGATAGTACAGGGGTTCAAGCATCCTTGCTTTTGTGTGCTGCTGACCCTGGTTCAGTCCCTAACGCCACATATGGGGTCCCTTACGAATTGCCAGGGGTAGGCCCCAAACACTGCTGCTGTGGCCCCCAAAGAAAATAAACTTAAAAAATAAGAATGAATCAATAAAAGAAAGACCATTTTCATATATAACTCTATCTTGAAAAAATATATCTATAGTTCATCCCCCTAATAAATGATACAGAAGCAGTCTGTCAATTTCTAAGATATAGATATCTGTACTAGGGACGTGAACTATTCGGTTACAAAACTAAGTTCTTGGAATTTAGAAATCGCACGTGATTTTTATTATTCAAATATATATATATATATATATAGTTTTATTTGAATCACTTTGAGATGCACAGTTACAAAGCTCTTCATGGTCGGGTTTCAGTCATACAATATTCCTACACCTATCCCTCCACCACTACTATCTCTTTCTCTCTGTCTCTCTTTCTCTCTGTCTCTCTCTCACCCCTCCCCCCTACTCTACTTTCGGGGTTTGCAATACAGATGCTGAGAGGTTATCATGTTTGTTCCTCTATCTATTTTCACACAGTTCTTATCCAGAGTGATTATTTCCAACCATCATTGTCATAGTGGTCCGTTCTCTATCCTAACTGCCTTCTTCCCCAGCACTTGCGGCAGGCATCCAACCATGGACCAATTCTCCTGGCCCTTGTTTCTACTGTCCTTGGGTATTAGTCTCATATTAGGTCAAACATGCTTTTACATCAAACATTTAAGAATAATGCTGACTTCACACAATAATAAAGTCTAATTTGGGAAGGGGCACTGAGTTGTGTCACACCAGCCATACTTCGGTCTTACTCCTGTCTCTGGACTATGGGATCATTCCATATATGTAGCCAGGGATTGAATTTGGATCTGGCACTTGCAGAGCAAGCCTTACTATCTCTCTGACCCCCATATGTATTAAATGTCAACTTACGTATTCTTTTGGTGAAATAACTGGTTTCCAGTGCCACTACTTCTAAATTGCCTTTTTTTCACCCGTAGATTGTCAGTAGTAAGCAACAATATAGAAGGAGAAGGACTTGTTGCACTTTCACAATCAATGAAAACAAATCCCATATTCTCATATATTTACATTTGGGGAAACAAATTTGATGAGGCTACATGTATCGTAAGTATGTTATTCTTCACTGAGAGGCTTTTCCTGGAATCTTTTCTGTAACATCAGGTACTTTTATTTAGAAGTCTTAGAAATGATAGCAAAATCATCAAATCTGAAGTCTCAATGAATTTTAGCCAATGTTTTAAACTTTAGTTAAGGATAATTCTGTGATTAGAATAGCAAAAAATATTTAAAATGCCACATATTAACAGAAAAGCCAGCGAAGGGACAGGGTAACGTTTATGCCTTTGCATGCATGGATCTGGGTTTAGTTTCTGCCCTGGATGGTGGGGCAGGGACAGTACCTTAGAGTCCCAATTCCATTAGTTAAAATAAAAATACCAATTTTGATTTATCCTAAATTTCATGTGGTGATTGCTCCAAACTATTTCCCAGTGATTTTCAAATCAACACAGAATTTGGGGAGATAAAAAAAAAAAACAAGCTCAGGATGTCACAGGAACAGGAATGTGAATTAGGCTACACAGCACCTGCCATGCATATGTCAGGGATTGAGATCCAGGGCCCCCAGGTGTGACTCTGGAGAGCCCAGACCACCACCTGACCCGAGTACTAGCAGAAATGAAGTCTGGGACCCCCTTCCTAAGCACTGCTGGATTTGATCCCCCACAGGAAAATAAGATATCTGGTGTTCATGTAGTTCTTGAAACTACTAAAAACAAAAATCATAGCAATACACAGCTTTCGTTTAGAAAGAAGAAAATAAAGTTTAGGGGCCAGAGAAACATTGCAGCAGGTTTGGTGCTTGCCTTGCATGCAGCTGACCCAGGTTCTATTCTTAGCACCACTGATGGTCCCCCAAGCAGGCACTGCCAGGAAGATCCCTGAGCACAGAGCCAGTGATAAGGCTTGGGAACAGTTGGGGGTGTCCCCCTAAGGAAGATAAAAAGATAAGATTAAAAATTCTCAGGGGAGGATGGGGAGTGGAGGCAAGTTACCTCAGGTACAGTATGTGCATAATGTGAGGAACCCTGAGTTAACTTCTGGCAAACACAAAAAAGCCCTTGATATTTACTAAAGGATTAACCAAATTTCCACCACTAAAATTACTAAAACATACACTGCTATATTTTTAAATGCGTATTCATTAGTACTTCCTCTCATTAGAAGCTGAAGATATTAAGTTTAGCAGTGATAATGACAAATTAAAGCAGAAAGCAGCTAACCTTTCAAATCTTTCCATTTTTCCCCTTCTCAATACTTTCAACTTTATTAACAAATTATTGAACATATTTCTATGACGCCTATACTCCAGAGACCCATAAGATATTTACACTAAAGAGAATTGGCACCCAGTTAGGCTGTCCTCTAATAACCATGGTAATTATATTTCTTAGCCTAACTATAGGTTAGTTTCAGGGAAGTTTCTGAACTTACACAACCTTTTACCAAAATCTTATAGTTTATTTTCCTGAGGAATGGGTCCCTCCCTCTCATCAGATTTTCAAGGCTATACAACCACCATGCCTGTCAACTAAGACCATTTTAGCTATGGGACCTTCAGTCCACAAATTGGTAATACAAAACTTAAAATTTTTGCAAGATTATAATTTCACTTTGTAAAATTAAGTACATAAAATGTAAAAACATATAGAAAATATTTAAAAATTCAGTATTCAGAATATTTTAAACTACAAATTAGTACAACTTGAGTTAAATAGTGAAATAGTTTGGTATAGTAAAATAAATAAGCCATCTTTTTAATGAAACTTTTTAATAAAAAACATCACTAGGCATATGCAGATTTAATTCAAACGGGTCATCTCCAGCCAGACAACACAGATGTGGAGCCATACACAGTGGATGGACGTGTGTATCTTGCAGAAGTCTCCAATGGCCTGAAAAAGCACTATTACTGGACACCAACTTATACAGCTGCTTACAGTCACTCGGCAAATATAGGAACTACTCTTGTAAGCCAAGATCAATGAAAAATGAGTCTTAGATTAATTTTCATAATTTTATTATCATTTTCACAGAGTATGACTTTATTGCCTTTTTCATAAATTGTTATTTTGTTAGATGTATAAAAAGACACCACTATTTAAACTTTGTACAACGGTCCATTGAGAAAACCCAAGGAGTGTAATACAATTGTTTGTTTTTTGTTTGGGGGCCACAGAGGTAACTCCCAGATCTGTACTCCTGGGGGACTCAGGGAGCCATGTGGGATGCTGGGGATTGAACCCAGGTCAGCAGCATGCAAGGCAAGCCCTGTACCATCTCTCCAGCACCAAGTATAATTTTTGCAAAGAAATGTGTTATTCATTTAACCATAGAGAATGAAATCAAGGAAGAGAAGACCCATTTTATAATGAAAATACAAACAGTACTAAAAACAGGATATAAGAAGGTCAGTATATCTTAAAAATTAGGATAACTGAAAGTTGCCATGAAGTGTTTAAAATTCGATATGCCAGACACAGTAACAACAAAGTCTCCAATGGAGACGTTACTGGGCCCGCTCGAGCAAATCGACGATCAACGGGAGGGCCTTTACCTTTTTACCTTATTTAGATGTTATAGATAAGGAATAAATACAATTTTACAAATTCAGGCCTGATAAATACACACAAATACAACTACATTATATATATATAAACTTCCCAAGCATGTCAGAGCTGCCAGGGAATTGTTCCTCCTTTGGTGGGTGCCAGTAGCATTTTGATATGATGGTACCTTAACACTACTCTTGCAGGGCCTGAGCAATAGACAACAGGACGGCACCTTCCAGGCAGGCTTCTCGCCAAAGTTTGATCCCTGGCACCCCATAGGACCCCTGAAGGCAGCCAGGAGTAAGCCCTAAAATCTGCTGGGTGTGGCCTCAAAATAAAACAAACAAACATAAAAACTGCTCTTTATAACCTATCTTGTTTTCATGTTAATTCCTATAAGGCAAAAAGATGCTGGTTGTTTAATAAAGATATATTCACAAATATTTTATTTACTGTACACAAAGCAAGAAGATGCTCCTTTAAAATAAATAATTTGGGGCTGGAGCAATAGTACAGCAGGTAGAATGTTTGCCTTGCATGCGGCTGACCCGGGTTTGATTCCCAGTATTCCATATGGTCCCCCGAGCACCAACAGGAGTAATTCCTGAGTGCATGCACTAGGAGTAACCCCTGTGCATGGCCGGATGTGACCCAAAAAGCAAATTAATAATAAGAAGAAGAATATAAATAATTTATTCTCATTTCAAAGCTTAAAAAAAGTTGTAAAATCTGGTTTTGAATTCAGGTGAGATTCTGTAATCTGAAAGAAAATACTATGTTTTTCTAATTTCAGAGAGTGAGATGAAATAAAGGTGGTATTCAACTTTAAAAGTAAAGTAAAGTAAAGGCCCTCCCGTTGATCATCGATTTGCTCGAGCGGGCCCAGTAACGTCTCCATTGGAGACTTTGTTGTTACTGTGTTTGGCATATCGAATACGTCACGAGGAGCTTGCCAGGCCCTGCCGTGCGGGCGAGATACTCTCGGTAGCTTGCCGGGCTCTCCGAGAGGGGCGGAGGAATCGAACTCAGGTCTTACCAAAGTTTTGTCCTCCACTTGAAAGTATTGTGAATTTCTTAAATCATAGTTGCATTTATTCCAGAACTTTAACATTACAAAAAAATTGCATCTGCCACTACACATTCGCTTAGTAGATGAAACAATTAAGACAAATATTGCCTACTCGGGCTGGAGCGATAGTGCAGTGGGTAGGGCGTCTGCCTTGCAAGCGGCCAACATGGTTGACCCGAGTTCGATTCCTCTGCCCCTCTGGGATAGCCTGGCAAGCTACTGAGAATATCTCACCCGCACAGCAAAGCCTGGCAAGCTACCCGTGATGTATTCGATATGCCAAACACAGTAACAACAAAGTCTCCAATGGAGACATTACAGGGCCCATTTGAGAAAACCGATGAACAACGGGAGGACAGTGACAGTGATTGCCTACTCACTAATGATCTTGAAATTTTAACAGATGATACCTTATACTCAAAACATGGGGAAAAAAATGAGATGTTGTTTCTGTACATGTATGTGTGCACGCCTGTGTGCATCTGCATATTTGTGCATGCTAATGGTGGCAGTTACAGAATGGAAAGAACATTAAATAGTAAAAGGCATCTTTTTCATGCCATATAGTTACAAAGCCTTCAAATACCTAAATGCTTAATAATTCTCGTGTTCTCACAGATAAATCTGAATATTCTAGAACTGGTTACTGTTGTGGTTTTTAAGAATATGTGGTGTTGGATGAAAAATACACATATTTTGTTCATTTTGTTTATGAACAGATTTTATGAATGGAGATCAAGGGTTTTCAATACAAATTTTGTTGGTGCTAAAGAAAATTCTCACAGGCCTTGGGAGGTTGCTCAGTTAACCCAGATGGTTTTTGTTTATTTGATTGGGCCACATCCAGTGTCTGCTGTGACCTCATGCTCTGGGGGACAGTGCAGTGCCAGGATCGAGCCTGGGCCTCCCAAGCGCAGAGAGTGCACTCCAGCCTGCCTAGCTCTCCCTCTCTGGCCCTTAAAAGTGACTGTCTTTGAAGAATGTCGTGGGTATCCTTATAGGGATTGCATTGAATTTGTACAGTGCCTTGGGAAGTATTGCCATTTTGACAATGTTGATTCTCCCCATCCATGAACAGGGGATATTTTTCCATTTCCTCATGTCCTCTTTTATTTCCCGAAGTAGCGTTTTGTAGTTTTCTTTGTACAGATCCTTTACTTCCTTAGTTAAGGCGATTCCTAGGTACTTGATTTTCTGGGGCACAATTGTGAATGGAATTGTTTTCTTCATGTCACTTTCTTCTCTTTCATTATTTGCATATAGGAAAGCCATGGATTTTTGGGTATTGATTTTATAGCCTGCCACTTTACTATACAAGCCTATTGTTTCTAGGAGTTTCTTGGTAGAGGTTTTAGGGTTCTCTAAGTATAGTATCATGTCATCTGCGAATAGTGAGAGCTTAATTTCTTCTTTCCCTATCTGGATGCCCTTAATATCTTTTTCTTGCCTAATCGCTATTGCAAGTACTTCCAGTACTATATTGAACAGCAGTGGAGAGAGTGGGCATCCTTGTCTCGTCCCTGACCTTAGGGGGAAGGCTCTCAGTTTTTCCCCATTGAGGATGATGTTTGCTGTAGGTTTGTGGTAGATGGCTTTAACTATATTGAGGAAAGTCCCCTCTATCCCCATTTTGGCAAGGGTTTTCATCATGAATGGGTGCTGGATCTTGTCAAATGCTTTTTCTGCATCTATTGATATGATCATATGATTTTTATCTTTTCTTTTGTTGATATGATGGATTATGTTGATTGATTTCCGAATGTTGAACCATCCTTGCATCCCTGGGATGAATCCTACTTGGTCATGATGTATGATCTTTTTGATGAGTTGTTGGATTCTATTGGCTAGTATTTTGTTGAGAATCTTCGCATCCGTGTTTGTGTAAACACACAAAAAATAAAAAGGCCGGCGGTCTTGCCGTTTCCCCACTCCAGGGAGGTCGAAGGCGATGGTCAGGTGAAGGAAGGAAACGAGGCCAAGCTAGTTGGTCTTAGTAGCCGTTTATTACATGGAAGAGATGTATGTCATGGAGGCCTCAGGAATCCTCGAGCACGTGCGCCTTTGTTCTCTCAGCTTCTGTCCTCAGCCCCATCTTCCCAGGTTCTCTGATGCACGTGTCCCCCCAGAGAGCCCTGAAATCTCCCTTATATAGATCATAGCACCTCTAAAGGGCGCAATATAATGATGTCATCAAAAGGAGTTACAGAAAGAACACTGAGGTGGCAAACATGCATTGTTTCCTTACATCCGCAGGCCAGTAATCCTGGCCTCACCTTTTCACAAGCTACAAGCACTTAGATTAGCACAACAAAGACCAGTCTGCTAGAGCTTGGAATCTACATCTCCAAAAAAGCAGTCTCATCCAAGCTAGTCAGGACACACAGAAAACTGCTTCTAGGACGTGTTTCTCCTCTCCTTGTCCAAACAACATATAAGCATACATAATATTAATCATTTCGTATGGACACAGTAAGAAATACTTTGAGCTTATAGAATTGCTCTCCTAGGGCCATCTCGATCTCAGACTGCAATGCTCAGGCCAGATATCTTTCCTATTCCTAGCAGCAGGGCCCTAGTCTCGTCGTTACTTTTGGATCATGACAGCATTTGCCTATGATCAAACTCTTAACTTATAGTTAAGAATCGTGGCACCTTGGCCTGGCCCATCGCGATGCCAGGGTAGCACATAACTTACCGGCTTGCCCTGGTTCCATCCAGTCCCACGTCGGGACCCTGCCCTTGGAGTGCTAGGAAGTGAGGGCAACTGAGGCTTAAGTTGAGAAGGCAGATGCCCAGGAGTGAATAATATTCAAAGCCAATCAATTCCTAAGTTACAAAGCATATTAATTAATTGTCTTCTTGTATCTATACAAAAGGACCTTGCATTAAGGTAAACTGCTCAAAAGACATAAGGAGAGGAGAAAGACAATATTAACTTACAGTACAGCTTCAGTGTCTAAGAAGGATGAGACCTTACAAATTGGTTGGGGAAGAGAGCATAGAAGAGGTTACAGACAGACAAAGTAATGGGAGTGACTCGGGAGCACTGTGATGGGTACAATCTGATAAACCTAAGCTCCGTGTACTCCAACATCTCACCCTTTTCTGTTTACAAAAACACAAAAATTTGAAATAGACAAAGGAACAATTCCAATCACAAAACAGTCTCATATGTAGTAGTAGTAAAACTTCAGTCCGCCCCTGAACCCAGAGCAGTGCTTGTCGTAAAGTGTCCAATAGTCCTGCACTGTTCAAGGGTAATCAGAGTCATTTAGTCGCTTATTGAAGAAATGAAGTGTCCGGATCGCAGTTTGAAGAGTTGTTTTTGCAACATCAGCAGTAGTGGTCACAGCAATGAGTCCCAGTAATGAGTCCCAGAGAAACAACTG